TGTGTCCCGCCCAGAACTCTGTCTGCAATCCCCACGGCTTCGGGCCTTTGCACCTGCTGTGTCCCACCTAGAACTCTGTCTGCAATCCCCACAGCTTCCCGCCTTTGCACCTGTACCTGCTGTGCCCCGCCCAGAACTCTGTCTGCAATCCCCACGGCTTCAGGCCTTGGCACCTGCTGTGTCCCACCCAGAACTCTGTCTGAAATCCCAACGGCCACAGCTTCCATGGCTCAGGTCTCAGCTTCAAAGTCGCCTCCTGGGAGCGGGTCCCGGGGAGGCGGAAGCAGGTTCGGGGAGGAGGAAGCGGGTCCCGGGGAGGCAGAAGCCGGTTGTACGCCGCAGGCCGAGGGCTCCTGAGGCTGACAATCCCAGGCCCCCAGACCACACGTGGGAAGGGAGGTTTCGCAGCCAGCTTCTGGGGGCTCCCGCACATTTTGGTGGGCCCTGGCTTGAGACCCCGTGGCCCCCACCTCTGCCTCTGTCTCCTCACGGCCCACTCCTTTGTGCGTCTGAGTCTAAATTTCCTTCTCCTTACAAAGACCCACCCTGATCCAGCCAGGCCTCATCTTAACAAGATTACATCCGCAAGGACCCCATTTCCAAATAAGGTCAGACTCCTATGGTACATGTATTGTAGGAGGACCCCACTGAACCCAGCTTAGGAGGAGGGATCCCCACTGAACTCAGCATAAGGAAAGGACCCCAATGAACCCAGTGTAGGGGGAAGGACCCCACTGAACCCAGGGTAGAAGGAGGGACCCCACTGAACCCAGCGTAGAGGGAGGGACCTCACTGAACCCAGTGTAGGGGGAGGGACCCCACTGAACCCAGAGTAGGGGGAGGGACCCCACTGAACCCAGAGTAGGGGGAGGGACCCCACTGAACCCAGCGTAGGGGGAGGGACCCCACTGAACCCAGCGTAGGGGGAGGGACCCCACTGAACCCAGCGTAGAGGGAGGGACCCCACTGAACCCAGGGTAGGAGGAAGGACCCCACTGAACCCAGGGTAGGGGGAGGGACCCCACTGAACCCAGCGTAGAGGGAGGCACCCCACTGAACCCAGCATAGAGGGAGGGACCCCACTGAACTCAGTGTAGGAGGAAGGACCCCACTGAACCCAGAGTAGGGGGAGGGACACGACTGAACCCAGGGTAGGAGGAGGGACCCCACTGAACCCAGTGTAGAGGGAGGGACCCCACTGAACCCAGAGTAGGGGGAGGGACCCCACTGAACCCAGAGTAGGGGGAGGGACCCCACATTGAACTCAGCTGTCCCAGAAAAGCAACAGACACAACCCAGCTGGGAAACACAGGCTAGACGTATCCTGGTGAGAGGCCAGCTGGGAAGTGGGGAGCACTCACCCCACCAGCAGGGTGTGCGGGAATGGCCCATCATGTTTCCCAGACACAACCGTATATGACTGCAGCTTGTAGACAGCCGCTCTCTAAAAAGAACGGGGGAGCTATGCCAAAGGCCCCTGTCACCCCTGCAGGTGACTTCACAACAGTTTACAAAAAACCACAGATGGGGCAGACCAATGCCAGCAGAAGTGACAGGTTTCACCAGTCCTAGGGTGGAGGGCGCTGTGTCCACGCGCCGGCCTTCCCCCGCGTGTTTGAAAAGGTTCATTTATCATCTAAGAATCCAGAATAAGCCCCGGCGCGGGTGGCTCAAAGCGCTGAAATCCCAGCAACTCTTGGGAGGCACTGAGACGGGCGGATCACGAGGCAGGAGATCGAGACCCCCTCTGGCTAACACCCCGTCCTACTAAAAAACAAAAACCTACCGAGGCGAGGTGCGGCGGCCTGTAGTTCCCAGCTACTCGGGACGCCTGAGGCGCAGGAGAATGGCGGGAAACCCGGGATGGCGGCAGCTGTGCAGTGAGACTGAGATCCGGCCATCGGCACTCCAACGCAGGGCCGACACGAGGAGACCCCGTCTCAAAAAAAAAAAAAAAACAAAAAAAAAAATCCAGGATAAATAACACAAAGGCCGCTTCCTTCTGGGCCACCGTTGGAAGTCCCCTGCAGCCGCCCCTCTGGAATCCTGGGGTCTGGTCCCGCGGCCACCCCCTTCCAAACACCCCTTCCGGAACCTGCCCACGCAGGCCAGGGTCTCGTGGGCCGGCTCTGTCACCCGTGAACAGCTGTCCAGGGGCTCCGGCGGCAGAGAACACGCCGCTTGTCATCGGACTCGCCGCCATCCGAAGTGGGGGGCGGTGCACTCCGCGCCATGCGCGCCTCCCCGCGCCTCTCCGCCGCCACCACTGACCCGCCTGGGAACCCGGGACCACCATCGCTCCGGGTGGGGCAGCCGCCGGCGCCGGCTGGAGATGGGTCCGGGGTGGCGGGAGAGCTGCGCAGGATTGGGGAGGGGATGTCGCCGGGTCGGGGGTCCGGAGGAAGGGGGGGGAGGGAGGCCGCCGCCACGGCTCCTGGCGGGGGTGTGGGGGGGACTCAGAGATAGGGACCCAGGCCGGACCCTGGCGTCGGGGTGTAAGCACAGCCGTGTCGCGGGCCTTGTCGGATGAAGCCTGCCCTTCCGGATCCACTCGGTCGGCGGCGGCGGCGTCCCACGGACCACGGCGCCCCCCGGCGCCCGCGCCCCCCGGCGCCCCCGCGCCCCGACAGCGGCTGGAGCGCGGGCAGGGGACAGGCGCCCCGCAACAGCGGGGCTCCAGGCGCCCAGGGACAGCGGCCGCCAAGCGCCGGGACCCCCGGCTCGCGGCTCGGACTGGGGGTCAGCGCCCCCCGCAGGCGCCCCAGCCGCGCCGCGCCGCCGCCGGGCCGCGACCCGTCAGAAGCGCCCGGGCCGCAACTTCCCACGCGGCATTCGGGGCAGCACGCGCGCCAGAAGTGGGTGGCGCCTCGGGCCCTCCGGGGGGCGCCGGGGGCGCGCGCCCGCCCGGACCCGCGTCATGGCCGCGGCCGCCCTCACGCAGAGCCCGACCGGCGCTTGCGCCTGCGCCGCGGAGGAGGCCCTCCCCGCTACGCCCCGCTCCCTCGGCCGCCCCAGGCCCTGG